ATCTTTCTGTGTTATACCTCTGAGGATGCCAGTCACAGTTACTGGTGAAACATCAGGTTCTACAATGCCAAGATCATGGCCATCCAACCAGGAAAATCTACAGCAGCTAACGAACTCCGGCTGTGAAAGCCTTCGACAACATAAATAACCAGAAGTTGGACATAATCATGGATTTAGATGTGGATCGTGACAAGAGTGATATATAGAAAGGTATTATTCTCTTTCCTATCAACCTGCAATTCCCAACCCCATTATGTAATTCAACTTTTGCCACCATCTTGGGAGCAATGGTCTATTTAACTGCAGCATAGCCCCTAAAACCAAACAGTCATTCCTTTTCAGTAAGTGGGTTTGGAGCAATCTTAGTCATGAAGTCATCCATCAGCTATAGGAGAATACACTGTTAACTTCTTACATTATAAGTATATATACTTTACTGCAGTTTAGAGGAATAAGGAACAAGTCAAAAGAAAGCACAATAAAAATCACTGTTTTCAAGGCGTATAGAAGCAATTCCATGATACATATTTCTTTCAGCATTTTTAACAATTACTTTATGATTTGGCATTATATTTTATGTTTTATTGTTTTACTGATGCTGGTTTTTATTAACTTGGTTCTGCTTAGTTTTTTTGGTGCTGGTAATTTTTTAAATACATTTATATTGTGTTGTGTTTTATACCTTTACATTTTTAGAAATTCTTCACTCCTTGGAGGCTATATGTAAAACACGGTTTACTAACATTTCCAACAAATAAAGTGTTGTTGTAGAGTTCTACCACATAATACCACTGCTTACATGCCAGTACAAATTTAGCTGATAAAGATACAAGGAATTTTACAGAAATAACAAATCAGCAATAAATCAAAAGGTCCTGTTCCCAGTCTAACACACACACATGCGCATTTAATAACTTTCATTCACCTGAATAGATCTTAAAAATAAATGGGGGTTGTTACCATTATCAATTAATAAAAGTAGAGGAAGAGATGAAACAGGACCATTAATAAAAATAAGAAAATAAGACAAAGAGCAGCAAACACAACCCACCATAAAAAGAATAACAAATGGACAATTACTCTAAAGAGCTAACACTGGTAATACATCTGATAAAGGAGCTTCCATTCCATAAATCTGTTGGTCTTTTAGGTGTCACAAGGCTCCTGTGTATTTTTTATCATAATACTGAGTAATGCAAAGAACAAGAACTGGGGAAGTGGAAGGAAAGATAAAGACAGTATTAAGATCCCAAAAATATGTTCTCATTAGCTGCGTTCACATGGGCAGTTTGATCCATTGCCCTTGCTGTTCCCTTATGGATTTAAAGTGCACAATCAGACAGCAACATCTGTCTGTTGATCCCCAGTCATCTGAGTCCTCCCCCCTCCCTTGCTGCATGTTTCTTTGATACCTGAGAAAGCTCGGTTTTGTTGGTCTGAGCTGGTTCCAAAACAGATTTCCTGCTGTCTGATTTGCACTCTTGCACACCCAAGCCATCAGGCAGGTCTGACTGATCTCTTGTTTTCTGTCCACCATTTTTTTAAAAAGTAGTTAGTGATGTGCACACAACTGCTTATTCGCACCTCCCCCCCACAGGGGCTGCTCAAAAGGCTGTTTTCTTTTAAAAAACCCCAAAAAAAGATGGATGCCTCTGTTTTTTAGTTTTTTCCTGTCCTTTGGGGAAGAGGTAAATTGAAAAGATTAGAGGGAGGATGGCAGTGAACTCCATATCCCAATATTCTCAGCAAGCACTTGTGCAATTGCTCAGAGGGCAAACTTGTAAAAAAAATGGCTGACAGCCCCATGAACTACATATCCCAGCAAGCTCATCCATGCTTGTGGGCATGTTCTGAGGACCAACTTTTTGAAAAAATGGCCAACGGGTTGACTCCATGCCTGCTGCCATCTGATAACTCCAGGGTCAGTAGAAGCACTTTGAAGTGCACTAAAAGGGGTGAGTCTGATCACAATTCTCTGGCATAAAATAATCTGGCTCAATTAGAAGCGGAGCAACAATGGATTGAAGTGCCCATCTGAATGCAGCCATTCTTTCTCTCTGTTAATGCTTTGTTGATGGTTTTGACTAAAGGATAATGATTACCTAGCAAAGTGGAATTCGAGTTATTACTAGGGTTTCCAGGTCTCCTGCTATGGTGGGACAATTGCTACCAGGAACCCCCAACCCCTGCTTGGTAGGCCAGCAGGGGGAAATTACCCCCAAAATCTCAGTTGATGAGATAGCATGATGTCATTTCCATGCTAAACTCACACATGACATCACAGCACTGTAGGATCTGGTGGAATCCTATGGCATTATGATGTCATTTCCAGATTTGGCCTGGAAATGATGTCATACTGTCACTCCAACAGCATCCCCATGCTCCACCCTCAAAAGCTCCAGGGATTGCTAGGCATCGTCTTGGCCATAGTTCCCTCTAAACTGTGCTGCAGGTGCTAGTGGACAAACTTTTAACAGGCAGCACAGGGATTACTGCTTTCAGCTCACAAGGTATTTTCCTTTCATTGGAATCAATGGAGGATGGGGGCACCTCCTTCTGGGGCCCATAGAATTGGACCCCCTGGTCCAATCTTTTTGAAACTTGGGGGGGTGTTTGAGGAGAGGTGGCAGCAGCTATGCTGCAATTTTGGTGCCTCTACCTCAAAAACAGTCCCCCCAAGCCCAGATACCCCCAGATTGATTCTCCATTATGGTTCCCATAGGTTACAATGGAGCCGGAAAAATTATATATATATTTTTTTTGCACAATCCTATTATGCTTTTCAGTATGATTTGTAAGCTGCTTTGAGTCATGGGGAAAAGGGAGGTATAAATGTTTGAATAAATAAGTAGTTTGGGCAGGTTGATAACATTTAAGCAACTTCCTGTTTGTCAGGTTAGGCCAGGTTCTGGCAGTGATTGTTCCTCTTTTGTTATACTTGACCTGTAATGCTGGTTGTCATATTTCACTAAAAACCACAAAGTAGACTGCAAGAGTCTCCCCTCCACCCCAAGTGCTGGTATGTTTTCTAAGGTTCAGCACAGAGCAACGGTACGAGGCCAGGTCTACCAATACAGTAGAAAGGGTTGGGTAGATCTATTCTTTGGAGGCCAGGTCTGCCAATATAGTGGAAATGGGTGGGTAGACCTGTTTTCTGGAGGACAGGTCTATCAATATAGTGGACTGTGGTGGGTAGACCTGCTCTCTGGATATAGTGGAAAGGGGTGGGTGAAATTCTGTTTTCTCTTAAAATGTTTAAATTATTCCTAAAATATAGTTTAAATTTAATTTAAAATAATTTATTGTGAGATTTTTACAAGGTTATGGAAGTAATCTAAAAAAACGAATTTATGTGATAGTAGAGTCGCTCACAACTTGAATGCTACTAGCTTTTTTTCACTCATGAGGTAAAATTTTTGCTCACAACACTGTGGAGCTTAGAGGAAACACTGGCTGGCAACCCTAGTTATTACACTCTTTACTGCATACTGACATAACAATTGAGAAAATCACAACATAAAAAAGGGAGTAAGAAAAAGAAGAGAGTGCACAGTGGGGAGGTGTAAGATACATATGTTAGCTGTACTTTCTTTCCTTTCTAAAAGACCACATAAAGGTGAGCTGCAGCTCAAAATCAGTCCTCTGCATTTGGAATATATTTCCCTTTGTAGGCTGCAATATTAAATGATATGTCATTTAGGCAGCCCTGAAGTGTGACAGTACTTTACAGTTTGGGTCCAAAGAAGTCAAGCACTAGAAGAAGAATGGTAAATGTACTGCTTTGAGTGTTGAATGTACATATACAGGAAAGTAAGGTCAAGGAGTACAAGGTAGAGGAAAACCACATGCTAATAGTTGAGATGGTATATGATCCAAATTTAAATTTCCAATTTAAAGTCCAGATATTCCTCTCCGATCTCCAGTAATCTAACATCACCTAAATGGCTCCATCCATCTGTGAGAACCTCATCACACTTTCCTTTGATATATAATGTACTGAATATATATGCAAACATAGCTGCATAAATATGCCAAAGCTAGGCTAATAAACTAACACCAGAAGATATTGTCTCTCTTCTCCCTGTCCTTAGAAATGTAATATTCCTTTCTAGACTCTGAATCCAATGTCATTTTTAAAAAGGGGGAAAGCAAGATAGGGTTAATTGAAGTAATTGTTTTTATGGTCAATGCTGATGGTTTTGGAGGGGGAAAGGTTTCTCACAGGGTGCAGCTTTCCTTTCAGTTTCTTCTTTGAGGAGGAAGGTAGCAAACACACACACATATATAGGATCTTCATCACATGTTACAAAATGTGTGTGGTGGAGACAGGGGTCATTTTGTAGAAAAAGAGCTAGGGGGACTCATTAGCATAACTCATTAGCATATGCCACACCCCCTGACATCACCAGAAGTGTGTCATAAGGCCACACCCCCTGACAGCACCGGAAGTGTGTCATAAGGCCACATACCCTGCCCCCAACGGTCCCGGCCGCCGCCGCCGGCCTTGCAGCTCCACTGCCGAGCTCCATGAGAGGCCCGGCGGTGGACCTGCAAGGTCGGCGGGAGTGCAACGAAGCCCCGCAAAGGCCCTCCCTGGCCCCAGGCAGGCGGGGGTGGGGAGAGGCAGGTTGGAAGCAACTTACCCTCCCTCTTCTCCTGCCTCTTCCTGGCTGAATGAGGGCCGGAAGCGGGGCAGCCGGAAGCAGGGGGCGGGGCTTCGTCATGTGCCCCGCCCCTGGTTCCTCACCCGGGGGAACTGCGATCCCCCGCGATCCCCCTGAAATGACCTCTGGGTGGAGAAGAAACATATGGGGAGTAACCTCTTCCTCCACCTCTTGAAGAAAAATGCCAGCACAGCAAGTTTATGGTCTGGGTAGTTGAACCATTTTTGTAATTTAAAAAGTACACTGAAAAATTCACAACAAGGTCAGGAAAACAAAGGCAACAAAGGGGAAACAGCACACAAAGGGGAAAGGAGCAACAGAAAATACAGAACTTACCACTTCTTCATGGGTAGCATTTTCTACATTTATGCCATTGACCTATAATAAAGTCACATTTGAAATATCAGGTTAATAGGATGTTTTAATTCACGAATGGGAAAATAGTGAAAAGCTTGAATCAAGAATATAGAATAAACTGACCTGCATGACTGCATCTCCTATAAATAACATTCCGGATTGGTCCGCTGTAGAGTTATAAAAGAACCACACATTAATTGAGAGACTTAAAATTATGACATATTTTGCTACAGCAATTGTTTCAAGTACTGCTCTTGTTATAGTCATTTCTAAAACAACCTCTCTTTTAAAAATGCCATTAGCACAGCAATCATTCAGTAAAGCTAAATAGATTGGTACCACTTCTAAGGAAATTAAGAGAGCTACTTTCCAGTCACAAAAGATTATTTAATATGGAACACAAATGTCGTTTCTTGCTAATAATGGATTTCATCAAATTATAGAAGAACGGTGATTCATATTTTTCATTAGCTTTGGTAAGGCAGTAAAATAGGAATTTTGTGTCTCTTGTTCTTTCTTCCTGAAAAGATGTGCAAAGACTACTGTAATCAAAGGGGATGCAAACAGAATTTAATAAAGCAATTTGGAATGAACTTTGAATCCAGTTCATTACATAGAGAATTGTAATTCATTATTTCCACCAGTAATTTAAATAGTTTCAGCAACATGAAATTAGCAGGAATGTCACCTTGCCAACAGTACGCATACCAAAGTACCATACAGTATCTTTATTCTTACTGTTTATTTTTATAAGGTGTCTGTTACACTAAAAACCACAGTGGTATATCTTTTATTCAGATCAGCCAAAATAGTGAATACAAGCTTTTGAATATCCCAGAACACATCTGTGCTTCAAATAGTATTTCATTCAGACACAGTGTTTCATAAAATGCTGTTTTGGAGAACAAAGTCTAGATTATTAAGGGCCTAATTCACATACATGTTGCTGCTACCACATTGTCTACAGTTCACTATCCTCAGTTCATATTTCTCTGCCCTCATATGGAAATCCATGCTTTTATACTTAGTTAAAATTGCTACCATTTGTGAAACTGAGACTATTGTGATGAGTATTCAGGACAACCTTTGGCATAAACCCATATATGTTCATATTCTTGGCTCTGACACAATTAAAAACAATACATAGTGCTAATCTCAATATGGAAGCAGGCATATCACCTGAAAGTCATGTGAGAACTGCTTATTTGAAAATATCACCAGCATGATATTACCTTCCCAGGAATACAGAATTTATGAAGTTGGAGTGGCTTCGAACAAGCACTTCTCCACTACCACATAATTTCTGAGGAAGTCCAATCAGTAGAGGTTTAAGATTATCAAACAATTGCATTGCACTACTGACAATTCTTTATATTCAGGGAGATCTTTATTATTATGTCTTTAGCTTTCATTATGTGTTCAGTGGTCATGTAATGCTTAAAATGTTTTCAATGTTGAAGTCAGACACTAATAGCAGGAGGGTATAAAAACCCTTTGTCATAACTACAGAATGAAGCAATAAAAGGAGCAGCATGACAGACATATCAGGCTACCCCTTCAATCTGCATAAATATGGGATGCTTTCTGAGTAGACCATATACTCCTAGATCTCTTTGTGAGCAGACCATATGCATCTTGTATGCTGACATGGGAACCCTCTTTTTTACATACTTCTCAACCCTGTCCCTATGCACAATGGGTAGGTTGTTGCTGTAATCCAACCTTTCCTCCTCCCATACAGTCACAGTATGGTCTTTGGTTTTTGAAAAGGGATAGATAAATCTGTATATTGGAAATTTTAAATATAACAGGTGTAGAACAAATAACAACATGGGATCTTTTAGATGTTGAAAAGACATGGATACCTCATCCCAAAGGGCAAATTCTGCAGCAGCACAAGATTGGGATGTGTTGTACAATTGGCAGCTGTGTCCCAAAAACACCATCTTGGCTCATGAAGATGCAAGATACAACTACAATGGAATTAACTGTATTCAGATTGCATTTGAGCAGGTGACCATCACTTAATTATAATGTACACTAGAGACTCATGACAATGGTTGTATGAAAACACTGTTCACCATGTCACAAGGAAACAAAATCACATGTAATATCACATTCTACTATTTCTAATGCCAATCTAAATCTTCCTAAAAGTTAAGTTAAATTTGTATTTTGTGCACCCAACTTGTGTACTCTAATCTCAGACCAATTCATGCTATATCTTTTATCTGACTGAATAAACTTTTCCCCCTCAATATTAACTGAACACACATTGCTATGTGGAAGCTGCTTCCTGATGGTATCTTCCTATAATGCCCTGGTAAACATTTGAATAAGAAAATCACAAGTGGGTCCCATTGCCAGATTCTTTCTGGTCCACACATTAACCTCTTTCCCAGCTGTATGACCATGAGGTGGGAAGTCATCATGCATTTGGATACATGGTGGCAGAAAAGAAAAGAAAAAGTCAATCCAGCCTGAACATGATGCTCTCAAAGCATAACTTACATTCTAGATCAAGATGTAAAATTTCAAGTAGTATTTGGACATATATCCTACTTCTTTCATTTTCTGCTTGATAGAATATGCTGCTTTGTAAACCCTGAAGTTTCTTTATAAAGGCAAGAGAATTAATGTGTTACAGATTACTTCTTTAAAGATTAGGATACATTTTGTATTATATGAGAATTCAAACATTCTCATGTTTAAGGTGTATGTGACCATGCACTGAAGTGCTGTTCCCTGTCCTCTGAGGAATACAATCATGTTCTGTACAATACGACTGACAAGAGCTTACGATTAGCTCGGCCTTCAAAGAGATTGCTCTATAGGAATGCTTTTATTGTTATTTTCTATATCAAGAAAAATGAGAAATTGAATGAAATGGCACAGAAATATCTTTTCTGAAAGTCTGAAAATGCCCAAGGTATACATTAGGGGCTGAAATTATTGCTATTCTTATTATTGGAGAAACAAGAGCAATACACAAAAAGCCGTAACCCAAACAACATCATTGAGGATTCAAGAAGATTGTTTCGTTCACAGCAAAATGAATACAATTGAACACCTACAATAAAGGCCAAACTTTCTCCTCATAAATTGTACACTGCAAATAACACTTATCACTCATGGGGGCCAAAACTGTATTATTATGAAAATAAAAAGTAGAGATGGCAAAGGAATTCTTAGATTGCTCAGAAACTATATTTGACAGCTGCAAATCTGCTGTACTGAAGGAATATAGTACTCTGCTCCTAAAGTTGATGGCAGTTAGTTCACTATTAAATGGGTGTTTAAAAATAATCTGTTAAATTCTGCTATAGTGCACTCTTATATTTTAGGTAGAGAAGAGACTGAGTTCTGTCTGGAGTTATCAGTGCTTCCACAAACTCCATTATACCAATAGAAGCAAAGTGGAACGATTCAGACTGTATGTATAAAGTGCCTTCAAGTGACAGCCAGCTTAAGGTGACCCCATAGGATTTTCAAGGCAAATGATTAAGTGGAGGTGGTTTTACTATTGCCTTCCTCTGTGAAGTCTTCCTTGATGGCCTATGCAGTGTTAAAAGGATCACAATGTTTGGAAGAATCAGCAACAATGGTTGCCCATAACGTGGCTCCCATCCTGCATCATATTATACATACACACTGGGTTACTTCTGTATGACTGAGGCTGTACTCAAATACCATACTAAACTAGTTTATAAGCGATGGATTGATCAACACCTTGTTAGTTGTGACACTGGAATGCAGACTATCCGGGGATCAATTGCTGGCATCCAACCCAAATTTTAAGCTGGGATGTGTAGCTAATATGTTAACCACAGTTGGTACTAACTGTAATTTGTTGTGACATCTGAATTCACAAACCATGTTTTGAAGATGTCTGGACACAGAAACAGCCATATAGGAGTGATGATTTTATTCCTGGAAGGTAGAGAATACACAAGAGCAGATAACCAGAGTTTTAATGACAAATTGTATTTGCAATTTACATATGTGTTATTTACATACATATTACATATCAGTGTATTTGTTATTTTGCATCTAAGGAAGTGACACTTGCTTCAAGATAGCTGATGCTAAAATATGAAGCATAGTTTATCATGATTCCTGAATGCAGACTTAGCATGCAGAAATATGCAAAAGCAGACTCATTCTTAAAAACAACTGACTACGTAATCCTAAACAGTGGTATACCACTGAAGCCACTTGGCTTAGAAAGGTGTAGCTCTGTTTAGGATTGCACTTGCAGGGTGACCAGGAGAAAGATGGGCATATTAATATTCCAATAAATATGGTAACTGTGCACCATTGGGGATTAAACCTGGAACCCAGTATGAAGATTTTGTATCAGTGCTTGGCTGATGGAAGAGAACTTTGGCAGGACTGAAAATTAGAGAGAATACATGGTCTTATTTTATAGGCTTCTGACTTGGCATCCTGTGGAATTTTTGGTTGTACAAATGAGACCAATACAGGAGGGAGATTTGCTTGCCAGGAAGACAGGGCTGCCTGCACCTCTGAAGTTATCATGGATTAATAGGATGATGCTTCTCTTGTGATTTCTTGCTACCTGTGGATAATGGAAAAACTCAAGCTGCCAACCCGATCATTTTATCTAAAATGTACTTTATTTTGTAGTCGCTTTCTGCTTTCCCCCAGATGGCACATCAATCAAAACACAGCTTCATAGACTTTATTTACAGTCTCATGGATATTATATTGGTATGGTGCTCCAACATAAGCTTACTACATTGGTGATAAAGACAATAATATGAATTTTGATATCAGGATATTAACTTGAAACAGTACTAAGGGGAAAGGAAGCAAACAATTAGGGATTTAAGTCCTGCACTATAATAAAAACTCTGGATTTTCAAAAGTCAGTAAAATGAAACTTACACATGATTTAGAAATGTCTCTATATTTATTACACATATATGCCTTTCTTCCTTTGGGAAATTCAGAGTAGGTTATATGGTTTTCTCCCATCCTGACACTGAACAGACTGAGTGCACTTAAACAATGATGTACAAAGTAATATAGTTCTAACTCTTTGTATGTACACTGCAAAATGTAATAAAACAGTAGAAAAGAGTAAGAGTCCACTAGCACCTTAAAAACTAACAAAATTTGTGGTGGGGTACTACTGGGCACTTTG